GTTTCCGCGTGATTGACGGACAAACATCTGAACAAATAAACTTTTACCTTTATAATGTTAGTGTTATATTATGTGTAGACCATACGTAGTTTAGTTTCTTATTCTACAATTTCAATCAAAGGCTTGAGTTAGTATATAGATACTAAAACAATCAAAATCGTATCGAGCCGTGAATAAAGCCAATGATGAAAATATGTTAGTAAACCGAAGAACAGAATAAAGGTTTAAATCACCTGCTACTTTCACCTCTGCACTGCTTAAAGGTTGACTGGGAGACAATGCCCAAGGCATTAAGTCCACCTGTACACACTTGTTGTATGAAGTTGAAAATAAAATAAATAAATAAATAATCGAATATGTTCCGCAAAGAATTACATATACAAAAATTGATTCATACTGTACTGCAGATAATAATTAAAACTACAGTCACAATGGAAACGAGACCCATTTTACGGCGAAATTTAAATCTATAAACGAAAATCGGTCTACGTATGATAAAAATTAAAATTTTAGTAATAATTTTAAAAGTGGAACATTTCGGATGGGGAGAATATAATTCAATATATTGATTCCGGTATCCCAATGATTACGGTTCGGATCGGCCGGAACGAGATAAATACGGTTGGTCTGATATGGAAATTGATAAATTAAATTGCCGGTTTTCGATTGTACGATTATTATGAGAAGAGGTACCTACCTTTGGTTATATTTTAAACTGTACTTAAATATCGTGCCATTTTACAAAGAATATGTAGTGACAGAACTATAAAATAAAATTTTGGATTTTTCGAAGGCAAAAATTAGGTACAAAAAAGTGTCAGATTGTAAGTTTCTTTTTTTATGGCATAGGCTGGTAAACGCACAGACGGATCACCTGATGGTAAGCAATCGACGCCGACGAATGTACACCTGACACACCAGAGGTGTTACAAGCGCCTAACCGGCCTGTTGGGAATTGGGAATTTTAGGATAGTCGGGGTTTCGGGAATTGGCGACACGGGGGGGGGGGGGGGGGGGGGGGGGGGGGGGGTAATTGGGCCTTTGTCAATTATAAGGCTGAAGTCAGGATTCTTAAAAGAAAAATGTCAAAAGGTAATCTTTTAATGAACGGCCAATATTGTTCTACTATAGATAATAGAAAGTCAAAAGTGTATATTGAATATTTTTTCACATTGTATATATTATCACGCTGTTATTTACGGGGAGGAGCTGTGAAGAACTATCCAAAGTAAAAATTCTATGTGAACAAAGTCACAGGCAAGTAGTTTTCTTAATAATTGTCATCACACGACATTATTATAATAATTACAACATTATTCTCATCGCATCAATTAATCGGAATTTAGCAAGAACACCGCAATGTAAATGACGTAACATTATTAATATTGTATCCTATCAACTGTACCCGCAATATTAATTTACTTCGAACACAAACTTAATACATAATTATTTGCTAACCTGATTGCTACAGCAATTACACGGTAAACTGACGAATGAAGAGAAAGTGCTCCACTTTGCATTAACCGACCAATTTGAGAAGTAAACCTGATCAATAAAAAACGCCGTTTAAAAGTAACTTTCTAATTTGGTACCTTTATATTTAAGTCGCAAAGCAGTCGCGAAATTGAGTGGTGTTAACACCAGCTCCGGTAGCCGTGATCGTCTAGTGGTTAGGACCCTACGTTGTGGCCGTAGTAACCCAGGTTCGAATCCTGGTCACGGCAGTGATGCACTGTCGCGGCGGAGCAATTTTTTTATAATTATGGCCTAACATGTGTTAGATGAGGCAGAAAAATGTGAAATGAAAAACAATGTATAATATACAACGAAGCCTGTTTTATTTGAAAAATCTTTGTGTTGTTTCTATTACATTTTTTACACGTTTTTAATTTGGATAGACAAACAGCCGCTGTTGGGCTTAAAAATAATATAACAACAAGACCCCGAATGTTTAGCTGCCCCAAGGGAAAATGTTTTTATAATTTGACCAAAAAAAAAATAACATAACAAGTGAAGAATGTTCAGTTATTGGGTGGATTCAATTAATTTGAATAAGATTTCTTTTCAACACGTTTATTATAATAGAAAAACAACAGCTAATACAAATCAAAATGGAGGAACGAAAAAGGAATGACAAAGACAAACTAAAACGCCACCTGTGGCCATATCTAGAAACTCAGCTTTATAAAGACACCTATAAATTTACCTCTTTTCAATAAAGAGTAATGAAACGAGTGAAAACTTCTTTCTATTTTAAAGTTTGTATGTAGCTTGAATATTAAAAAAAATGCATTTAAAAAACCGATTACATAAACTAAACACTAAAAACAAGCCTAAAGTATAAACTATAAAGCATAAAATAACTATTACTAGTTAAATTATGCACTTATAGGTTACCCACTCACTAATAGGTAACCCAACCACTGACAGGTTACCCACCTACTAATAGGTTACCCATCCACTGAGAGGTTAGAAGTCGGGACCACAAGCTTTTGTTAATGCTTCTTTTTATTTCACCCGTCTTAGTTGAGGTGAGAGACAGACTCTTACTGACTAAAACCACTCCGTTCCAACTCCTACTTTGAGCCGGAGCCCCAGTAACCCGTTAATGTTAAGTTGACGCTAAATAAATGATCTCGGGTGTCGTCGCCGGGAATCATAAAACCTAAAAAACTTACATATTTATATTAAAAAGGTGTGATATGTACCTATTTTGTTTGTTTCAAATTAGAAATTATCACTTTAGCTACAATTCTATACGTTACATTTTTACCGTCTCGGGTTCGATTCTCAGGTCGGGCATAGTATTACTGGGTTTTTACAAAATTCTCAGTAGTAGCACGGAGTCTGGAATTGTGCCCGGTAAATGGCAATAGGCTCACCCCCAATTACATGGGACTTATAACATAAATAGTGAAAAGTGGTTGTTACATTGTACAGTAGCATAATGTGCACCCCTGCCTATCCCTTCGGAGATAAAATGCGTGATGTTATGATGTTATGCATTTTTACCCAACTTAAGATGCAAATCAGTCAGTACTATGGACAATATTAGCCTGGGACGCAGTTATCTTGTAAAAAAATCGTTTGCAAATAATCTCAGAACTCAATATGTCCGTCTAGACGCCATTCAATTGTAATAACTGACAAAGAATTGTTTTTTTTATTGTCTGGTTACTCGGGCTGAACTTGATAGGTTAGCGGTTTATTACAAACTCATTTGTATAGATGTAACTGGCAGATAACAGACTTTTATGTAAATATTTAAATCTATTTTTTTAACTAAACTACCTATCGTACAAATACTCAAACACCACTCAATTTACAGTCGTGGTTAAGTATAGTTCTGCGGACGGCGAGCACGGTGACTCGCCGCCCGACCAGAACCAGGCCCGAGCGTACGGCGCGTCGCGTTCCGTGCGCGCCTCAAGGAGCCATCAAACCACCACTGATGGGGCCCAACAGAGCTGATGCCGATACAGAGCTGCGGAAGACTTAACTGGTTGCCGGGGCTCCGGCTCTCGAAGGACAGAGTAAGAACAGGGTGGTTTTTAGTCAGTAAGAGTCTGACATTCCCTCCTGCCTCACCCAGACGGGAGAAGTCATTCGTTCATTTCCCGCCGTAAAAAAGGTCATCACAAAAACGCATTTATAATAACAGTAGCACAATAAACGTATCCACCTACCTACGAAAAAATAAAAAGTGGTAGTAAAAATATCATAATCTTTTTATCTAAAAAAATATTATGTACGAAGAACCTGACAATTTCCATTACTTGTGTGCCTCACAAAAGGTCCATACCAATTTATCGGATCGTTTGTATCACACGTCTATAGTAAACTGACAAAATATTCTAGTCAGAACTGACAGCAAAATGTATCGCATATATTGTAACCCACATAAAATATTTCACATTTCCTTGCTGACAAAGCGTTTTTTTAGTATTACTAGTAAACCTTTTCTTTATCTAGGCAGTTTTTCTAGGCTCATATGTGTATTTTTTGTACTAGTATTGGTAGCAACAAAGTTTATAGCCTGCCTCATGGTAAGTGGGTACCATAGTCTATGTCAGGGCTGTCCAAACTATATACCCTCGCGAGCTAATTAAATTTCTTACAAAAGCTGGAGGGCCAGACAAATATTTTTAGTTGTATAATGACGTTTAAGTTTTTTACAAGATAAGGTAAGACTAGAAAAAATTAAGGAAATAACTAAATTTAAAGATGCAGGGAAACTATGTAAAATACTAAAATGGCAATGGGCAGGGCATATGATAAGAGAGAGGAATATGAAATGGACAAAGACAATATCAGAATGGTACCCCAGAGATGGGAAAAGGAGCAAAGGGCGACAACCAAAACGCTGGGAAGATGACCTAAGGAAAACTGCTGGACTAGAGTGGATGAGAATTGCGAGGGATAGGGAAAACTGGAAATCTTTGGAGGAGGCCTATGTCGAAGGACAAGCTGGGGGTAATGACGTTTAACATTATATTCTTTACTCACAGACTAAACTTGCATACAAATCGTACACTGGAATTTTATTATTGTTGTTGCACATAAGATGAAGATGTTGAGATTAAAATGTGTGTCGCGGGCGCGGGCTTGCGGGTCACATTAAATCAAGCAGCAGGCCGCATGCGGCCCCCGGGCCTTTGTTTGGACATCCCTGGTCTACGTACATACAACACAAAACGCAGGAGTGTTTTGTATCGTAAGAAAATGTTTGATTATTAATATTTTTTTCGGAGGATGTTATATTAAAAACGCGTTGCACGTCGCACTATAGTGTGGGCACTACGATTTCCTCCAGTATGAATTTCCATATATCCAGGTGTATTAACATACATTCATTCAACAACCAACCCAGAAACCAATTTGCAGAGAACTATTTCATATGGAAGCGGCAGTTACAATGATTATTGTACCCTAATTCTAATTACTTAAGTAAGTTATATTCTTGTTGGTCTGTTTGTTACAGAGGCTAGCCATGCTGCGTGATGTACAGTAACTCGAGCGATGCGGAGCGCGACGCGGCGGAGGAGACGACGCTCGCGGCACTAGTCGCGCTCTACGTGCTCGTGTCCATCATAGGTATAATAGGTACGTTCTATGACGTCATACCATCCACATAGACCAGGGTGCTTACTCTTGAAACCAATCTCAATGTCAATACAATTTCAATCCAATAAAATCTCAAAATTATTCAATGTCAAAACTATACAACCTCTATCGAAGCTGTTACAATAGCATTCAGAGGACAGAATATTAAGCCAAATTCAATACCATTTAGTTCATTAAATATTCACGCAATATGGATGCAACGGGCGCTAGTGTTGCAACTTAAGAGTACGAAATTTCACAATACCAATGTCGATCGATCGGAATTGGATTCAAAAGTTAAGCCTCTAGCCAGACCTCAGTCATAGATCAGGAGTAGAAGTTCCTCCGCTATATGAGACGTTGCCATAGTGCCCTAGGCTAGGTTTGGAGACAGCGTTTTAATACATTTAGTTTTATCGTAGAGTGCTTCTCTTAGGTCCCTATTAGATGTCTTCATGTCCCCGCGCCTCATACTCGTACTCAGTCGTCACTTTAGTTAGTTCTTGCGATTATGTAGTAAATGCATATAGCGCAGGAAATTTCTAATTCAGATAAAGGTCCACATTATATGAAAATTCATTTAACCTTTTCTAATGAGACGGTAGTCGTTCGTCCATGAATTTTATTACTTTACTACTTTAAATCCTTGCATAAGATTAGATTCTATAAATATTTCCCGGTCGACATTAGTAAGTTATAAGTCTGATTTTACCATTCGTTATTTGATATTTTTTCTCTTTCGTTATGTATCCTCCAAACGTATACTTAGTAAGTATTTCCAATATTTGAAAATGTAGTCTTTGATTTTAAAATTTTTCAATAGCAAAATACCAGGTGCTTTTTAAAATGAAGTATAAAATATGGAGAACTCTCTTTCATAAGGTTTTATATTTCATTTTACTGCTGTTATGCTTTTCACCTACATTTCGTAGAAACACTGAGTTTTACTTAAAATGAGTTAATATTTCTGATTTTTCTAGAGCTGATATTATGATCTATTTAAATTCTAGAATCAAGAAGAAAAATGCGATACAGATACATATTGTGAGATTCTTTAGGGGGAACTATGGAAATAGGAGAACATGTTCATATAAAAATCAACTTCAAAAAATTACTTTTGACTATGTGCTATCTTCTTCATACAGGAAATGTGAGCTTAATGGCTGCGCTTGCGTCAGGCGGGGCGTCTAGACTGCGAACTCCGCAGATGCTGAGCGCATGCGCAGCCGACTTTCTCGTGTGCGCCGCCAGCGCACCACTAGCTGCGACCCGCGCGGCCAGAATAGATGAGCTACCCTGTCAAGTAACTTATTATATTGAGGTACATAATCATTAATTGTAAACAATGAGATCTGTATGATTGACTGCATCATTACTTGTTATCTTTCAATTGTGGGAGCAATAAAGATATATTCCAGATCCCATGATCTTCTTAGTTAAATTCCATTGTCATTGCATCAATGATTGAATTGTTAAAAACTGCGACGAGGCATAAATGTAAAAACCAAATCTTACTAATATTATAAATGCAAAAATTTGTGTGTATGTATGTTGGATGGAATTTGGGACATATTTTAAAAATAACAATGACAAGTATTACTGAGTGAATTCCTTAAGCTTCACATCTTTGTCCACAGTCATTCCCCGTGGCTGCGAGCACACTATCCTTGGTGGCGATAGCAGCAGACCGATGCGGGGCGGTGAGGAGAGGGGGCACGTCCCTCTGTGCGCGCCCGCATCTAGCAGTCATCGCCGTGTGGATCATAGCGCTTTTGCTTAGTAAGTCTTTTACCTCTTTTGTTAAGTAAAAAGTTAATAAATAAATGCTAGACTTCAGAACTCCGCTGTTTTCCTCTTGTTCTTGGCCTCTTCTGAACTGATTTGGAGCATTGACTTTTTTGACAGTCCTCTTCATCTTTATCAGACAAGGAACTGTTGAACATGTTGTTGTTCTTGATGATGTATAACGAGATTTTGTGACTTAAGTTAGGCGAGATATAATAAACGACAGACAACGAATAGAAACAAATAAAAGAATGACAAAACAGAAGTATAATGATGATCAATTTCTAGCCAATATTTAATGGTTTTCAGAAGAAATAACTTTGATAGAGTATATTTTTTACGAAAATAATGTCTAAATACACCGTTCTCTACACAGATCTAAATAAAAAGAACTATTAATAGAACCATGTAAACAACAATAAAAAAGTTATGTGACCCGGTGTCAGTAAATACATTACTGCACCCAAAATGGGTTCCGTAACTGAACGAAAGGGCCGTTGTAATCTTGTAGTAAATATTTTTATTACCTTATTTTACTGCTTTTATTTGAAATTCATGAACGCGGGTACTACGTACAATCCTTTTTATGTCTTCATCTGTTTCATCTTCATTAATCAATTTATTTACATGTACTGTAACAATATCTGTCTAATCATTCTATCAATCTATCATGTTGTGTATCACAAATGTATGATATCAATTGGTTAGCATTCATTTCATTCTGAACACAATAGTTACTGGATTATTCTTTCTTCCCAGGTGCAGCAGCATTCACAACGACGTGCGTATCGTGTCCGCCATTAGCCGCGGCGCATGCACTCGTTACATACTGCTTCCCAGTACTAGCTGTAGCAAAGTGTCACTGGGCAGTGAGGGTCAAACTGACCGCTCTGTCACTAACTGCTAGAGCAGCACACGGGGAACTGCCACTCCCCGTACCTCTTATGAGAAGACCCACACACGTCATCATCGTCGCCGGCGTAGGACCAAGAGAACGTCGAGACGCCGTTGACGTGGGTGACGTCAGATCCAAGAAGAAACTCCAACCGAGTCTCCTTGGACCACAACCTCAGACTTCGACACTCCGCTCCCGGCGGCGGCTCGGCAACGTGCTCATGGGGATTGCGGCTATATTTGCCATGTGCTGGTGTCCACACGCTGCCATAGTGATAGCTAGTGCGTTTGGCTTGCACGTGCCATTCCTACTGGCGCACTTCGCGCTGCTGCTGGGGTATGCGCACTCTGCGCTGAACGCGGTGGCGTATTGGGTGTTGAACCGGCACGCACTGACGTCGGCGTGTGCAGCGTGGCGGCTGCCGCAGCTACGCGTGAGAGAGGAGCGCCCCTCGTCGACCAACGAAGCGGCTCTGGGAGCTTTCCATCCCCGCCTCGCACGACCCGCACCCTCTCCCCGCCCTCCCCCTTCCAGCTTCCTCTATTGATGTCCGTCTATCTTCTAAGCTCTGTCAATCTGTGATTCCTGTCTCTCAGTGCCTCGTATAGTCTACAGGCGCCCCGCCTTGCCGGGGAGCCGCTCGTTTCGTCGTTATAAACGTGGTTGTTTGAGATTTTATGGAGAATAATATCCGTGAAGCAATAAAGTGTATGAAACACTTATAGACGTTTTATTGTGGACGTAAACGATTGTTGACGTGTCGTCCTTGGACCGAATGGCTGTGATTTATCCTTGCTACAGATCCTTAGTTTATGTTCCGTGCAAGTTCTTATAAGGCAATAAAATGTTTAATAGTTTTTAGATTTATAGTTCACATGTTTTACGAAACTACGAACTTTGAAGTGTCAGGAACATGTGGCGTCTTAGAAATTGAAGTCAATAGTAGTATTAATTTATATCTCAGATCATAAATTCAGTAATAACAGGCGGCTCTGTGCTTGAGCATTTACGACATGACGGATGTATAGGAATATAACATTCTATATGCTCGCATTTAGTATATTTTCACAAAATATATTTATATTGTAGGGACAAAGACTCCACAACAGTTGTATTACTGAGCCTTCTACGACATCTATTCTAAGCTCTTGTCACAAAAACCTACCATTCGATTATCTAAATGAGATATTTTTACTTTAACAAGACTTTTGAAGTGGCCTTAACAAGTTTTGTCATCATGTTCCCCTTCCGACCCGGAACTACACCGCTAGGACCAATTATGAACTTGTTGGCGCCCAAAAGGGACCAACGTCAACCATTTTGTGGGACAGAGTTTAAACATGCGGTTTGATGGCGGTTAGACGGTTAAAAGGGTTCTATGGTAAGTTTGAGATAGTATGTTTGATGAGAAGAATATATTTTTATATTTTATTTCTCATTTTTTTGAGTTATGTTTCATCCTGATATAAGTGTCCGATAAATATGTATGTGGCAAGAGCATTGAAATAATGGCTGACGTAATAGAAAGAAAAGAAAGAAAAACCATTTATTTTTCTACGACACACAACAAGAATTTAGAAACACACAAAAAAGCCTATGGTGCGTCGCAGCGCAAAAGGCTGGAGCTAATGCAATGTAATGTCACTTAAGAATGCTTGAAGCAACAAAATATCAGTGGTAATTTATGTATGCGTGTACTTGCAATACGTCCTCTCTCCTTCGTGTCAATATGTGTATATTCTGCGTGTAAGTCTATAATAGCTACGTGCCACAGTCATTGTTTCAAGAGTATTTTCCGCTATTTTTTCAATAGTATGTGGTTCATACAAATTATGTTCTAAATTCAAAATTTGTCAAATACTGGCTATCTAGACAATGTGAAATAGACCATTAATAGGTAACTAAAAACATGAAAAGAAAGAACGAGTAGAAATCTACTTGGAGCGTTCAATTTTTAATTTTATTTATATTAGGATAAAGTCTTCGTTCAATAAGCTTATATGTGTAATAAAGAACGAGAGCTCGACGCAGTGTATGCAGAGTAAAGCCTTTGAGCAGAGCTCGTGTTTGCTCATAATTTCAAAAGGCTGGACGTTCCTAGTTGGATGAAATGGGTATGGTAAGTTTATGATTGTAAATGTAGTTTTCAAGCATTGTACTACAATTTTAAAGAAACTCTGACCTATTTTGTATCATAATTTGATATTTTTTAATAGAATTGATGCTGTTTAAGTAGTAGCCAAAACAGTAAGTGATACGTCTGCTCACCCCCTATTACATGCGACTCATAACATAAATAGTGAACAGTGGGTGTTACATTGTACAGTGGCATAATGTACACCTCTGCCTACCCTTTCGGGATAAAAGGCGTGATGTTATGTTATGTTACTTTCGAACTCAATATTTAATCCGCAGTCACGCAGACAGTCAGTCAAAAAACGTAATTCCCAAAAATGGTCTCTTGATATTCTTTTATTAACTGACAAAGCAACTTAGTCCCTTCTTTGATACAAAATAGAATTCAATTTTCAATACGCAATTCATTTGCATATCGATTCCGTATAACAATAGCGTTGCATCCTATACAAAGTTTCACTTGAAAAACCCTTTACCAGCTCGATTGCCATTCATTGAGAGACTGATTCCATTTTGAATAGCATTCATTCAGGAATGAATCAATTGAACGATGTTGTTCCATTCCATTCAATCATTCGTTCGTAATAGACTGTCATGAACGCCATGGTTCATTTATAAACTTTATTTATTTCAGTTATTAATAGATAAATTATTTCTTTTGGTATTATCCAGAGCATGTAGTTTTAATCCAACCGCCAATTAAGGCCGATACAAATAAATTAAGAAAGCCGATCCAACAAGAAGGTAGGCTAGATCGATGTCTGCTTTTTAACTAAAACTTCATACAACTGACATCAAAATTCGATCTTTATCCACAGAATATATATTGGGATTAATTTAGTAACTTTCATTAAAATCATACATAGGTATCAGCTCAACCAGTGTGATACCACGGCCTCACAGAAACCCGACGTGAAACAACGCATACGTTGTGTTTCGTCATATGAGTGAGGTTACCGGAGGCCCATTTACCCCTCTCCCCAATCTCCCCAATCCCTAAATCCTATAATCTTCAAGTTCCTAAGCCCCCAAAAGGCCGGTAGCATGTTCTTAAAAGGTATACTATATTGACACTGATGCAAGGGGTTACGCTAGCATCAAGTACCTATAATTGATGCGTATTGTTTTATATAATTAAACTTTTATATAATAATATAGGTACTCCATCCAATTTTATGAAATGCATGCATGAAGTAAGTAGGGTGTTCCTTGTCTATGGTCCACAGATAATGTTAGATATTAAGTATTCTATAATTTCAGCAAAGAATAAGTCTGTGGACCGTGGACAAGACTTCACTTCATTTTATATTTTTAGCTTTTATTTTATTTTATTTTATTTTTGGTTATGTTATGTGTGTTTTGCGCAAGAATAAATGGTTTGTCTTTCTTTCTTCTTTCTTTCATACTATGAAAAATGTCCCAATATCGATTCACCCCTCTTCTGTCTCTATTCACATCTCGATCCCTATTCACCTCATTTTACCGTTATATGAAATACCTGCCTACTGGAAATTTGAAAAAATGGTCATACCAATCTAGGAAACACGTGTTAGGTTGAAGCTGAATTTCAACCTAAAAACCAATTTGAACAGTATAACATAACAAACGTGTTTGCGAATGACGTGAACTTAGCAAACATTATCAACAAAGCTTTGTATGACGTCACGCTGTTGGCCGCTCCCCTAAAATACCTGTTTCAAATTTCGAACCATCTGGCAACCGTGTTCTCAACGTCTCGATAAAAAAGGGTATAATGTGACCGAACAATAAGAATGCAGATAATTATGTTAATAGGAGCTTGCATCATTATTTTTAAATTTGATCTACCTCTACTATGTGACTATAAGCATGTTGTGAGTTCGATACCCATACAAAATTACGGAACAAGTATTTATACATCATAACATAACATCACGCCTTTTATCCCCGAAGGGGTAGGCAGAGGTGCACATTACGGTACTTAATGCCACTATACAATGTAACACACACTTTTTACTATTTATGTTATGAGTCCCATGTAATAGGGGCTAAACCTATTGCCATATACCGGGCACAATTCCAGACGCCGTGCTACTACTTAGAATATTAAAAAAAAAACCAGTAATACTTTGCCCGACCCGGGAATCGAACCCGAGACCCCTTGCCCGGCAGTCGCAAATGTCGAAATGAAATAAAGTTATTTAATTAAAAAAAACACAATTTGTATGGCTAGCAATTAAAGAATGGCACTTATAAACACAATCGGAATAAAACACATACCTTACCCATAAACAAATACCTATGCAATATTAATTGTAGTTATCGGAATTTAATTAATCGGCTACAGGGTGATATAATTTGATTGCATTCAGTATAATTGTGTTATGAATGCCGTGTCGGTACGAATCTTAATTAATATAATTGATAAATTGAATTAACTATCTGATTGGCACGTACACAGATTCAAATGTGACACGTTTGATGAGGGCGGTAAATTAAATTATATCGGAGTTTGAAGGACTTTAGAACACCTTTAGTTTAAGGGTAGGTAGAGGAGCACATTGTGTCATAATTGTTAATATAAAATCACGCCTTTTATCACCGAAGGGGTAGGCGGAGATGCACATTGCGGCACTTAATGCCACTGACAGTATAACACGCACTTTTCACTATTTCTGTTGTGAGTTCCAAGTAATAGGGGGTGAACCTACTGCTATATACCGGGCATATTTGAAGACTCCATGCTACTACTGAGAACTTTTTAAAAAACCCAGTAATACTTTGCAGGATCCGGGAAACGAAACCAAGACCCCTTGCCCGGCAGTCGCACTTGCGACCACTCGGTCACCTAGGCAGTGTAGTATGTTAATTAATCTATTATTTAATCACTAGTCAATATTTTAATATTATATACAGTTATGCAAATCCATTATAAACTGACCGTTGAATATACGGAGAGATGATACAAAGCGAGACCGGTTTAAACTGGTTTTTTTAACTCTATGTGTAACCATGTGAACCTTCATATAACAAAAATAGTTCGCAGGATGCTACGACATATCGTAGTACTCGTAGCAAATAGAGCTACGCCGTAGCCCAAACATCCTACATTCTTTCACGTCTTAACAGAAATGAAAATGTACGCTCAAGCATGTACAAAAACAACCATTACAATATTACACCTTATCACATACTCAATAAGGACCAATTTCCCGTAACAGTTTGTTTGGTATAAATACATAAGATGCTGCATACCGCAATAAGGAGCAGAAGTCGTTGAACTTTCGTCCTCCAAATAAACGAAGTGGTTCGATAAGTTCTTTATAGACGTGACAATGGGAACTAACTGTGTGACCTACTTGTGAACAAAGACATTCAACCGATCTGAGAGATTACTTACTATTGGAAGACGATACGTTCTCATTTTGCAGT